TTCAGTCCCTTCCAATGAGCTATTTCCACAAGAAACTGCCCAGCCAGCTTCTCTCTGAAGCCCAAATTCCCAGAAGACCCCTTTAAATGAGGATGGCCCTTTACAGTAGACAGGCAGTCCAAAAGATACCTGTTAGCTAACATAGTTCTAGAAGGATTGTAAATAAAGAATACAACTTAGAGCATAAAGTATTACATTTGTTTCTAAAATAAACCTCATGCTGTTGGATAAAAGTCTAACTTCACTCATTAGAGAAGCAAGGGGAAAGCCTACATATGCTGACAGTTACATACTCATGTGGGTACACACCGAGTCAAACATCCAGCACCTAAACAGGAAGCAGAAAACTTGAAATGAAAAAGAAAGAAAAAAGGTTGACTTGGAAACTTTTTAGCATATTTCCATTCCTTAATGCACCTGCCAGCTGCTCCCATTCTGGTTCACATTATGTTAAATCCCTTTCTTGACATAGTACACCACTTCTAAAATCACACTCACCATTGCCCTAACACACTGGCTCTTTCCTACAGCTGCTTTTCTTTGAAATGAAACCACAGAATTAGAAAGAATTAAATCTGTCTTATAGAAATAACTCCTTTAGAGATAGGAAATGATTTTTGCTAATTGGCAGAGAGAACAGCCCTGACCAAAGAGTCAAATATATACAGTTGTTGCCAACAGGTAATCACGTGTCTTCCAGGACAACATGAAGTATTTCAGAAGCAAACTCATGCTTTTTAAGCATTCAACTTTGTGCAAATTTTGTTAATGCCAGAGCTACACCAACACCAAGGCAGGGCTTAACTTCTCTGGGGAAACAACGACCTATCTATTATATGAAGCACCCAATATTTTCTAGGAGTCTTAAAAATATTATATTTCTCTAATAAGGTGTGTTCAATTAAAACAATTCTAAGCACCAGTAAATTATTAGCAGCTGAAGCGAAGATTTTTAAGAGCATTTTGAAATTCATGAACATGTTAGATACATCCATTTTGTACATGTGACAAAAAGAAATAAAAAGAAGCATCAGCAATTTCTGAAGTGGTTTAATACACCATAACCTCAGCCTTTCAAAAGCATGAGGAATTCCTTTTGAATTCACAGACAGTGCTTTATCACCCAAAATTTAACAGCACAAATAAAACTCCTGTCAATTTTAAGGCGTGTTCCTAACATGTACATCTCTGCCTGACCTGCTGCGTGAGACACTTTCAAAGCCTGATTAGTCCCCATTCCCAGCTGAGAAAACAGAAGCTGAGAAAATAGAATGATCAACTTAAAAAAAACCCTGGCAAGTCAGATACAGAATTGAGACCAAATCCAGTGCTTCCAGCTCTTAGCAACAGACACCATCCACTTAATCAGTCAAAATAACAAGCACTAATGTGCGTATTGTCCAACTGAAGTAAGGCACAACTTCAGGTAAAATCATACTTCGAGATGTGGCAAACCTTGAGTGGTGAAGTAAGGCTTGAAGACTTGCATTAACAGAGCTCACTCTACAAATTGCAACATGGGCCCCAGCTAGACAGGTCAGTAGATCTCTTATTTTCACCTGAAAACACATCTCCTTTTACCACCTGCATTTAAATGCAAATAAGAGCTTTCTAAAATCTTACAAGATCACAACCTCAAGACACCATAATTCCTAACAGCAAAGCAAAGTAAAGTAAGAACCCTCAGGTCTTACGGGAACACTGCAGAGTTTCCTTCCTAAAAGGCCTTCAAAATCAGTGCCTTGCCTAACCGTTTCTTGCCCTTCGCCACAAGAAAAGTTCCCTGGATTCCTTTCCTCTTCCCACCTACTGCCTACCATCCTCCTGCACAAGCATGGCTGCCCTCACACCACACCAAGAGTTCAGAGCTCCCCTCTTGCTCACACACACTTATGTACCCCTTCCCCTATGTCCTTGCTATACCAGAAAGTTGGAGAAAATGCTGATTTTTGCCTAACAAAGCCCTGCAAATACTGAAAGCTTGCAGAAGATGCAGCCTGGTCAAACTGACCTTGCCAAGAGGCAGAATCAACACAACACCCAGTCAAGCACTGCATTAAGAGGACTGTATTGTTTCTGAGAATGGACCTAGAAGCTCAGCCTGGTATCCATCCAAGTGCTGGGCGCGATTCGTTACCTTTAGCACCACTGCACTTCACACAGCAAGTGGTAAGCTCAGCGTTTATCACATTAAAACTTAACTGAAAATGTACTGTTACTACCACAGCAGGTACAGAAATCTCCTCAAGACAACATTCTGCAATCACAAAGCTCTCTCCAAGTTTTGAGCTAGACAGACAAATTTGATTTAGATTTAAGGAAGGAGGTGCCATCTTGGAAAACTAAATATTGAGCTTGATGCAGCCTTTCCAAACCTCACCCCTAGTCCAAGAGAGTGCCCCTGGTTTCACGAGAACAGAGCAGAACTGATCACGGCAACTACATTTCTAGAAAATGAAGGGAAAGCTCCACAACCACCTTCTTCTGGCAACTCAGCTGCCTTTTCCCAACTGCCAGCATAAACACATTAGGATGCACGCTAATACATGGTGCCTGGCTGCTGCAGACCTTTCCTTCCCCTTGCTCACCCCATCACCTTGACTCTGCTATCTATTCCTAGATGTTTTGGTGAGTCAACTCACTTTCAAAGCTTTCTGCCTGCATCCCAATTTCTGACCTCAGGACTTGCGTCTCTGCTGGTGTTATCACTGGGCCTGGCCATCTCTGTAACTAAGGGGTTGTTTTCAGAACAAATAGCTTTTTCTTTGTTGTAACTGCTACACAGACATGTCAATAGATGTGCGTGTTGTAAGAAACAAGAATATACTGGCACAAAACTCACAGGGAAGCTTCCAGGGCCTTAGAAACCTCCAAATGCAGAAAACAGATAAAATGTAAATGAAAAAAAAAAAAACCCCACACAGTAAATGAAAAAAAAAAAACAAAACAAGAAACAACCAAAACCCAAACAACAACAAAACCAAATGACTGATGCAAGGACTCTGAAGCAGAAGCATCTTTTGTTAATAAAACACAGACCTAGATTCAGATCCCCACAGCTTTTCAGATCACAAGAACAAAAATCTGCAGCATCAATACCCGTAACACTTACTTTGAAGTTGTTGAGAAACCAAAGGTGCTTGAGTAACTTTTTTCCTTAAACACAACTGAAAGGTTCAGTTTACCACCACAAGCACACACGAGTTTTTAAAAGGATACATTTTAAAACAAGCACAGGATGTGACCTACCATATACAGGCAAAGCCTTTACCCACCCATTCCAGCATCCATCCCAGAGAGGGAATACAAGCAGGTGCCTCGGGAAAGAAGCTCCCCCACAGTTGGCCGAAGGTCCAATATCTAACTGCACAAGCTTCATCCCAGTAAATCAGCCTGTGACACGCTGCCATGCTTGTCACATACCTCAGATCCACCAAAATACATTGCACTGTGCTAAAAAGTGCAAGATATATCCACAGAGGCATTATTCCCCATTTAACAGCCCAGCAGTTTTGTTAACAACACAGATTTGTTACTTGTTCTCAAACATTTTTGTTCCAGCCTCAAGAACTGAAATATCCAACCAGTGAAGTTTAGAGTAAGGATTTTCCTTCCTCTAAAATACTACTCAGCCAATTTTTTTAAATGCTATTATTTTAAAGATTCTACTCAACAACTCGTAACACAAAGGCTTCACCTTTTTACATTTCTATGTTGCTTCTATTTCAGCCCATTAGTCTGTAAGAACGAAATCACTGATTTATCAGTTCTCTAGTAACATTAAAACTGCAACAGCTCATTTGGCTACACATGGGTATTTCTTAGCCTGCCTCCACAGTATCTCTGCAAGTTAAATCACTTCTATCTCCTAAATGAAGGAGCTAGTCCCCATTCTTTTTATGGGGGTACCATTCCAGAGCTCACATTGTGAGGACACTCCATACTGCAAGGTGGGTCCTAGACTTCCGCAAGAGCAGCTCCCTTTTTTCAAGCATAAAAAAAGACAGAAAAGAGATGGAAATAAGAAAAATTAAAACCCCCACAATATGCTGTGTTTCAATTGCACCTAACATTGCTTTTATTGCAAGATCTCCAAAATAACAAATATTAAAATGCTGCAGTATCTGGACTGTCTTCACTCACCGTAAGGCAGCAGATGAACCAACCGGTTTGTTTTGGCTACAGGCAAAGTGCAAGACTGCTCCTTGAAAGCCAGCTGGTGAACTCTCTACTCCCAAACAAACCTTTGGGCAGCTGCTCCCACGTACCAGGCTAAAATCAACTTTATTTGATTTCAGCTGCTCCCCGAAGAGCCTCCCATTAAACAACTAAATCATCCTGTACGGCTTTGACTGAATAAATGCCAAAAGCGGTAACAAAAATAAAACAGAAAACACAGGGAGGAGAAAAAACCAAGCAGGTGTGGTGCACAAAGAGCAACAGCTTTGTAACTGGAACGGAAAGACCTGGCCTAACGGCAATCCAGGTACCAGAGCAAAGACAAGCGATCCATCCAGCAACCTGCAGTGCCCGCATAGCCTGCACTCGCTGCACGGGACGGGTAGGGCTCTGCACTCCGCTTCGCTACTTAAACAACACATTTCTTTCCGTAAAGACTTGTAACGGCAACACCCGAACCGCTGCTTCCCCACAAGCACGAACAGCCCCCACCCAGGCGGCGAGTCCCCTCGGGGCCAGCTCCCGGGGGCGGGGGGCCGAGGCGGGGGCCACCGCGGTCCGCAGGAAGCCGGGGCCGATCTCCGGTCCCGCACCGCAGCCCTGCTGAAGCCAGACCAGGCGAGGCGCTCTCGGCCCGGCCGCCCTCGGTGCCTGGCGCGGCAGGGACAGCGGCTCCGCGCTGCCGGAAGCGCCGTGAAGCAGGACCGGGGCGGGGGGGAGAGAGAAAAGCCACCGCCCCGAGTTCGCCGCCCGCCTCAGGCCCGGCCCGACGGGCTCCACAAAGGACGGAAGGCGCGGCCGGCAGGTGGGAGCGGACTCACCGAGCTGGGGCGGCGCCTGCCGCCTCGGAGGACGGACGGGCTGAGCGGGGCGCGGCCGCCACTCGGCGCCTCTGCAATGGCGGCGGCGTCGGGAACCCACCGAGGCGGCGGCGGCGGCAGGAGCCGGAGGGGAAGCGGAACCGCCGCGCGTGGCCACAGCCCGCGGGGGCGGGGCAATGCTCAGGTGACTACAACTCCCGGCGGGCACCGCGCCTGCGCCGGAAGCGGGTGTCTGCGGCAGCGGCCTGCATGCCCCGCTTCACCGCTGGGGGACGGGGCGAGAAGGGCTGAGGCATCACTGCTCGAGGCCTGCGTCCTCCCTCAAATGCTCAAGGCAGAGCAGCGCTGTTTTGGGGTCACGTCATTAAGCTTTACATACATAACTTCTTTTGCGGTGGCCTATAGCCAGCTGCAGAGCAGAGACCCACCAGACCAGAAAAACAGAGGCAGAGCACTTCTGAACTGCTTCTTCTTCACCCTTTTTTTCCATCTTCTGGTATTTAAATTTGACATTATTAACTCAATGCGTCATTTTGTGAGAGGAAAACTGGTTTTGCACAGCACAGTGGTGTCATCTGTGTGTCAGTGGCTCCTTGGGGTGTGCCCCAGCTTACTGAGTGAACAGAGCTGGTGGCAGCAGAATTACTGCAGAGCAAATGGTCACAGAAAACTCACCCCTACAGACCTGCCTTATTTCAGCCCCACTCTTTCAAGAACAGTACACCAGAGTGACCCTGCTATAAGCTGGTATAGACTGCTTTGGTCTGCTTCCTACCACAGGCAAAGCCGTCATTTTCACTCCTCTTTGCATGCTGCAGTTACTTTCCCATTCTGACTCAATTCTATAGTTGATCTTCCCAGGACCAAGTTTTTGCTAATTCATCTCTGCATGTACCTCTCAACAAACCACAGCAGGTTTCTGAACTTCACACTTCCCTCAGCTCTACTTCCCTTCCCTATAAGGTCTCCCTACTTATTGCTGCTTCAGCCTTGTACCCCTAAACCCAGTCAGCTGCCACTACAAACCACTCTCCGAATCCTTTCCCCCCTCCCAGTCTTCTGTCTCCCTCCCCAGGTACATCTTTTTAAACCAACTAGGAGGGTTGTTTTGTGATTCAGAAAAATCTTAACTCCTAGCATGGTCTTTAACACCCCTACCTACCCCTTTTCTTACATTGCTCTGATTCAGGCCTTACACATACTAATGATAGATAATGTTTGTGTCCATCCCCTCTATGTATGTTCTCTTGCTGAGAATTCACTCCTTTGTCTCCAGAGTTGCCAGGAATTTTCCAAAGGGCAACAACTGCTTTGCAGCTCATCCTCTGTGTCTGGGAGTGATCCCTGTAGGACTGGCACCTGCATCCTCCAGTGTCTGGCACACCATCAGGGCATTCTTGCTAAATGCAGGGCTTGCTAAATGAGAGCAATTTTCAGTATGGGAAAGAAAGCTTAACTGGCAAGTTCCTTCAAACTGAACGCTTACAAGAGTTATTAGATTTATTGACAGCTTTGGGAAAAAAAAAAAGCCAAACCAAACTACAAAAATTCCAAAATAACAAACAAACAAACAAACAAAAAAACAAAAAAACCCAAACACCAAAACCCACCCCAAAAACTTGTCTACTATAATACAAATGCTAGAGATATAAAACTAACATCCATTGAGAAGTTCTGTGATTTCTCTCATAGTTTACATTGATCAGAAGAATTACTCAAGTTGAAAAGCTTATTGGTGGGATCTTCATGTATTTTAGATACACTGAGCCACGTGCCAAACAAAATTATTAGTGCACTTTTAAACCCTTCTGAAGTCAACTATTTGTTTAGTATTGACAGTGCCAAGCCCCCTGTAATTCAAGACCCTCCTCCCTCACTTTCTCCTATGGCATCTTACTACTAATGTGAGTTTCCATTCTCACATCTTCACTTGTACAGATTCCCAAGTTATCCACTTACTATATTTTCTCTCATTTGTCCAAAGGATATTAGCATTTTCTTTCACAAGGCTGTGATACCAGGCAGCTTGTTTTAGCTGAAGAATCCAACCTGTGATACTCAACTGGTACTATCTGATGTTAAAAACCCAAAACCAAACAAACAAAGAAACCATGAGCTTTCAGGTGATAAGAGACCTGCCAGAACGGGTGACAACCTGAGATGATGCCTTTCCAAGGGTCAGACTGCAACACAGAATGACTTACCTTTGTAACAGAGAGCATAAGAACTCAGGGAATTAAAAATCCCACTCAGACAATTAAAAATCTCACTCAGACAAGCATTACCACACTGGTCCACAGCCCTGCTGTGATGTGGTTAAACAGGCCGCCAAATCTCACTGCAATTTTTCAGTTCAGTGTCTCCCTTCCCCCAAGCAGATGCAGAGCATGACTCCTCTGAGGTAGCGGATGAAGGACTGGCGCAGCCACCATCATTCAGCACAGTCGAGGGAAAACAAGAGCCCAGTGTCAGAGCACTTGCCAACCTGTCGTGGGCGAAGTCACAAGACGAGCTCTCTATTGAATTCAGCAGAAGCAGAAGAAAGATGTCCAAGGGATCCTGAAGCTACAGCTGGACAGTGATGAAAGGCCAATTCTGATGAGAAGCCTTGGCTGCACACTGAGCCCTCAAAAGAGGACAGAATTTGAAAACCAGAATATTCATTCGTCCCCTCACACACACTCCCAAAAATCACCTGCTTTTATTGACTTATTCTTGGCTTATAGAAAATAAAATCTATTCTCCACCAACAGTCCCAGGAGTTACTGTAAACTCATAATGCCACCTACTGACACTGAGAAGAAACAGCAGCCAACCCCTTGTCAATCAAGAGCAACTCAGGATTTCCATCAAGTATTTTACTTCCCATTCCCTTGTCTTTATCAGCTGTTCTGACAGCTCAATGCAAGTCTTCTAATTATTTGCTTCTACTTAGTATCTTTTCACCAGTTTTTATCTTCCAAGGGTTACTTCTTCCCGCATCTGAAATAGAGTGAAATTTCTTTCAAGTTGTCTAAATTCTTTCTAAACCAATCTGACCAAGAGCAACTAATCCCTAACAGTTATTAGGATGGGAGAGATTATTTAAGCGTTCTCCTGCAAGCACAGGATGTCTCTTCACAAATTCATACATAACACATCTGGACAACAAGCTTAAAATTCAGAAATTTAATGAGTAGTTGATGTTTCTCATACCCACAGGCTATGGGTAAGAACACACCACAGGTTCTGGTGTGTGTAAGGTGTTCATAAGAATTGGCCCAAATGATTATAACCCATTATGGGACCCTCACACATTACTTATATCGAAATAAAAGTGAAATAGGATTCATTTAGGAAGCAAATGTAATACTGTAAGTTTTGCTGGATGTAGGTCAGTCATTCCATATTTCTTTATTCTGAGCAGATCACCTCAGAGAATTGTCCATATTTGCACATGGCTGCAAGAATCAGACTGGAACAGAGCACTGTGGCAAGAAGAGTCACGGCACACACCATGGAAATATGTTGCCTGAGCCCCACTGGAACCTGCAGAATGGATTCCTCATGTGCCTAAGAAGAAAAATAAATGGATGACACACATTTAACAAGCTATTTATTTTTGACTGCAATTTGGATGATTAATAAATATGTTTAATTAGCCCTTTGCTAAGGCTTCTTCCTGGACTCAAAATCAAAACTGTTTACAGCAAACGGAGCCCCAGCTGCTCCTGCAGTACAAAGCACAATAAATTTATCTGCTCAAAATCAATTTATGAGCATTTCACCAATCACCAAGACGCCAATTTTCTCAAAGGTGAATAACTATTTGGTTTCTCTCTTTGATGTGTGATATGTTGTTACAAAAACAAGAAATTTGTTATGAGCCAAATGAGTCTTATTTCTGAATCTCTTCACTACTGCAACCCTTTTGAGTATCAAATGCAGTTGCTGACAACACTAAAGATCCCACTTTCCTTGGTTTTGAGTTAGAATAAAGAGACTATGTGTTTTCCTAGATACTCAGCCAATCAGATAACAACCAAATAGAAGTGACCTTTTTTTTAAGATGCTATTCCATCAACCTCTGCAGTTTTACTCCTCCTTTAGTTTGGGTATAAAGTAGTTTTCCATTTCACTACTCTTCTGAAGCACCTATGTTCTAAAGACTTCTCTTAGTTTGACCAGTGCTAATTATATCCTAGAATTCCAAGTAAATTTATATCCCAAAATTCCAAGTAAAAAATAAAAGGAAAAAAAAGGTGAGGATGTGCTCATCATAAAGACCAGAAGAGCACAGTTACTACAAGTATGTCAGAAGGGCAGGATAACCCCCACTAAAAGCCAATCAGAAAGGAAGAAAGGAGCTTCCCTAAGAGGGAATTGCACAACTAATCTTTTACTGATTAGTTCCTGTGCTATGGAAGTTGCTATTCACAAGGAAAAAGAAAAGGCAGCAATTGTTAGAAGAGAAGCAAGAATTCCCACAGAAATAACTCACAGACTTGTGTGTTATGCTGTACCACTGACAGGGGCCAGCATTTTTGCCTGAGCAGGGAGCTTCCACTTCAGCAGCCTTCCAACACTCTGCTGGCAGGCGACCTGCGGGAGATGTTAATGCATCAGCAAGATCCATGTGGGATAAAGCAATACAGTCTACAAGGCTTTTCCAAATGAGGTATCCTTCCTCCACAACAGCTTGACAGAATCTACTCCCTGAAAGCCACCAGGTGAAACAGCACTGACAGAAATGTGCCAACTAATCTGCACAGTTAAAGTGGTACTGGGCAGTCCTTTTCATGTACTTTGTAACTCTTTCCAATATGGTAGGTACCCAAGAAACAATTTCACTTGGGTGGTATCTTGGCCCTTCCATCCTTAACAGGGCAAAGAATTCATCATTAGCCTGTAGACCCCTCAACTTTAGCCGTACAGTTATTATTTCTCTTCCCCCCAAAACAAAGTCATTCTTTCATTTCTTGCTGGCCTCGTGCTGGCACATGCAGGAATTCTCCTCCAATACTTCAAATGCTTTCAAATGAAAAATAAATATGTTTTATTTATTATTATTTACTATTTACATAAGTAGTAAATGTGGCAGAAAAATAGGAAGACTTCATACCCTTTTTAATTGACCAGGCATTGTTCCCTGCCCTTAAGTCTATCCCAGAAAATGCTTGCTCAGATA